AAAAAAAAAAAAAAAAAAAAAAAAAAAGAAGAAGAAAGTTTTTGGCATCCATCCACAGGGGTTGTGAATATTAGTGACAATAATATAAAGAATGAAACAGATGAAAATGACAACAATAGAATAAAATAGGACCCAGACACAGGCCATGGATATATATATACATATATATATATGCACACACATACATACATAGATACTTAATATATGGCACCAATAAAAGTGCATACCAGAGGGGAAAGGATAGACTTTTTTTTTTTTTTTTTTGAGATAGAGTCTCACTTTGTCACCCAGGCTGGAATGCAGTGGTGCAATCTTGGCTCACTGCAACCTCCACCTCTTGAATTCAAGCGATCCTTGTGCCTCAGCCTCCTGAGTAGCTGAGATTACAGGCATGTGTTGCCAGGCTTGGCTAGTTTCTGTATTTTCTGTAGAGACAGGGTTTCGTCATGTTGGCCAGGCTGTTCTCAAACTCCTGGCCTCAAATGATCCGCCCATCTCAGCCTCCCAAAGTTCTGGGATTACAGGCATGAACCACCGTGCCTGGCCCCAGGATAGACTTCTTTATATATGGCAGGCAATTGTTTACCCAAATGGAGAAAAAGTGAAATTACACTTCCACTTCTGGCTCACACTATGCACAAAAGTAATTTCCAGGCGATTTAAAGACCAAACTATAAAAGGCAAATCTGTAAGATTTTTGGAAAATGACAAGTATCTGCTGGACATAAAGCACTCCTGCAAATTAGCAGGGCAAAGACAAATAATCCAATAGGAAGTGCACGAGACTTCAAGAGACACTTCACAAAAGAGGAAAACTCAGAGCCAATAAGCAGGTGGGAAGATGTTTGGCCTTATTGTCAACAGGGACGTGCAAATTAAAGCCACAATGAGACAGGACTCTCCCAACAGAGTGGCAAAAATTGAAAGGCTTGGCAATACAGAGTGTTGTCAAAGAAGTAAATAAAAGTCTCCACTGGTAGACTGTAATAAGTACAACCAGTTTGGAAGACAGTGTGATGTTATCTAGTAACACTGAACACATGTACCTCTGACGACTCAGCAGGTCCACTCGAGAGTTTGTGGTCAAGAAAAATCCTTCTTTCTGCACATCAGGAGACATGTACAAAATTGGTTTTAGAAGCATTGTTTTTAAAAAGGAAAAAACTGGACGCAAGCCAATGTCATCAACAGTAAAAGGAACCAATAAATTTTGCTATATTGGTACAATGCAATCCTACTATGCAGCAATGACCATGGATCAGCCCCAGGCACACACATCAGTGTGGATGGATTTCACAATACTGAGCAGAGGCAGCCAGTCCCTGGAGAGTAAGGGCAAATGATTCCATTCTATGAAGTTCGCCAGTAAGAAAAGCCAAGCAAGTTGCTGTTGAAGAATACATACATGGAGGGGGACGTGGTAGCTCCTAAAGGAGAATGTCCCGTTTTTACGACCTTCATTGTTGTATTGTTGGGATTTTTTTACACCCATAATGTATTCATGCATTTCTTACCTATTTTTGCAAACAGCATTTTGGAGAGACTGTAAATCTATGTTTGGGTTTGCAGTTGGCTCACATTGGTGTTGGATGCGTTTGTTGCCATCAGTTTACCAGGTTCTCTAATTAGCATCCAGTTAGTAACGGAGTTTGCACTAAAGACCTTATCAGAATTGGGGTAGACACCTTGGGTTAGGGTTTGGGGAAGACTGGGTTCAAAATGTGAGCCTGAATCAGGATTTGGAATAAATTTGGATCTGATGAAGCCAAGGCTAGGGTGGGGCTGGATTTGAAGTCGATGTGGGCGGGGGGAGGGGTCACCCCTGTAATCCTAGCACTTTGGGACTTGCCAAGGCGA